TGTGTGTGTGTGTGTGTGTGTGTGTGTGTGTGTGTGTGTGTGTGTGTGTGTGATTTTGCAGCCTGCTGGGAGAAAACCCAGATGTTTTCAGGGTTTGTAGTCGGGGTGAAAGCAGGGACTCACCCAGGACGCAGCTCGGAGAGGTTGCCAGTCCATCACAGGGCCGACTTATTCAATTAAAGGCATTTAATAACTGCGCTGGTAAATTAGACCACAGTGCACATGTACAAACACCGAGTGAGAGTCTGGACCAGCTGACATGCTCGGTTCACTCTCCCACCTTGTTTGAAGTAGGCGAGTCTGCTTCGTTACAGATTTCAGCATCTCTGAAGCTGAGTGATCATCACAGCCAGGACTCAGCAAAGTTACACTAAAGCTTCTCATTTGCAGCTGCTGCTAACAAACCAAACGGTTCGAATGTTAAAAATTCAGCGAGTTGTGACGGTTTCTACTGCGTATGCATCTCTGATGTGCATGTATTGCGAGGCCCTGCTCTGGCTGATCACATGGGCCACATCACCCGTTACAGTGATCAGTGTGGCGTCTGCATGCGTCTCTGACAGGACACATTTTTTGCTAAAAACAGTGTAGTGTTTGTCATTTTGTGCCTCGACGCGCTCTCACGCAGCAGAGTGAGGCGTGCCGACGCGGAGCGTGATTGTGATAACGATCAGATTTGTCTTCGGCTGTTCACGCTGATCGAAAATCATCCCGTCAGAGTCACAAACGGTGGGAAAAGTCAACACTGGCACACGCTCACAAGCTTGTGAACGTAACCTTTAAGCTCTGCCGCCATGAATCTCACCTTGTCTCCTCTTCCTCAGGTCACCTCCGGCTTCAAGTCTAAGTCCATGGCGGCGGCTCTGCCTCCTCCTTTCCTGGACCCGCTCTTCTCCATCTCTCTGATGGAGGACAGCGAGCTGAGGCAGCTGGTGTTCGAGATCCTGCACAACATCCTCGACCGCCACGACAACCGCGCCAAGCTGCGCGGCATCAGGTAGCGCATCGCTCACCGTACTTACACGAGCCCTGCGGTGCTGGCGCCAGGTTTAACGACGCTCTCGTGTCCGCCTCTGTTACAGAATCATTCCTAATGTCTCCGCACTGAAGATTAAGAGAGAGAAGATTTCCAAGCAAGACGTCGCATTCATGAAGAAGGTATCATAATCGCGCTGAGGTCACCGTTTCTCTTTTCTAAAGAAATACTCTTTGAGATTCTCAATCTTTTACTGCTGACCTCATTTAACCTTAATCATCTCTTGGGGGGAAAATGTGACACACAGAACAGTTGAGAAACACAGAATGATTGAAACAAAATGCATCTCAGAATATAGAAAAGAACTTTTAAAGGGGATCTGATGCTGCATAATTTTAGCCGATTTTAGCACTCAGTGCTTTCTTACTACAAGCCTCATTCTCCCATTCTCACACACAC